AAAATTCTCTACAGAAATAATTTCGTTTTCGTTTTTCGAAACGACCATAGGCCAGCTAGGTGCTTTTCGCATTTAAACGACGCTTTAATTTTCAACGTCCGAACAAATTTCACCGACCGAAATTCCACGTATTTCGATGAATTTTAATTCGATCGTACTAATATTATGAATACACGCCGCGGAATATTTAATTTTGCCATTATATTGCGCCCGTTGAGAACAGCCCAAGTGAAAATAATTTCTCGACGATATATTTTTATCTAAATTACAAAATCTATCAGCCCATCTCTCGCCGCGTTTAATTATCTCGACAACAAAAACAGGAGATCTCCGGTTTCGTTCGATCGTTTCTTCAATTCGTTTCTCCGTGCGATTCAACGTTTTTCGATTATTCCCTCTCTGGTTACAAAACAGGTCAACTTTCGACGCCGATAGTCGAATTATTTCGCGCGATTTCACCAAGTGAATTGTAGCATCCGAATTGGTCGGAATTTCATTAAGGCTCTTTGATTAGCGAGGGGAACTTTGCGAGTCACGCAAATGTATAAAAAAAAAAAGAAAGAGGAGAGAAAAAGGAAACGCTAAATGCACCGTGAAAATCGATGCTCTGGAATGCGGAATCTTTGTTCCATTACCTTCGCCTCTTACCCCCCTCGCCATTTTCTCGTTCACGTTTGTTTGCCCTTCTCGTTGGTCTCTACTACCGAGAAAGCTCGACTGTATTAAATTTTAGCCAGCTTCGATATTTATTCCGTCGTTTCGCCTTGGTCGATAATTCAATTCGTTTGTTCGTTAACCAATTAATCTCTACGTACTTGGATTTTTACGTGAGCTCTTCGCTGGCACGTTTCGAAACGTTTTTAATGACTGTTCGATCGATGTACATCCCGAGGAACATTGTGAAAAAGATATTCCAGACTATTTGTAGGACAGGATTTTCACGTTGCAAGCACTCGTGTTCAAGGGAATTGGGAGAACACAATCGATGAAACCTCTTACCGGCAAAGTCTACCGAACTTCCCAACTAGGGGGATATTTTATTTATCCGGTAATAGGAACTCGTTCGCGTGGGGAAACTTTTAAGACAGTCTCATACATATTGTAGATGCTCGTGCGAGTTCTCTACCTCGATATCTTCCCGATCTCGAATTTAATGCACGACGTTCGTAATGCTGAATTACACGTAAAATGCTTTTGATTACTGACAGCTTTTATTATCTGGAACATCGTGGTTCCTACATTTTTTATTCTTTTTTTTTTTTTTGTACAATTTAATTTCTCATCTTTCGTACTGTTCAAATTTTTAACCCTCTGTAATCGTGGTATAATGATCCGTCGAATTTCATTGTTCAGTTCCTTTTATTTTTATTTGTATTTTCATTGCGAAAAGATTTAGACCAAAGTTTCGTTTGTGTATTAAATTAGAGACTAAAGTAAGCATCTCGGTAAGTTCCTCCAGATTCTTTTAAGCATGGAACAATAAAAAGATCAGAGGGATGAAAGAGCCATTACGTCGGATTAATAGAAAACTACCATGTCGACGAAGGGTTAAAGACGTTTAAATGAAATCGTTTCGTTTCGAATCGATTCGCAATGGCAGCAAAGACAGATAGATTCGATCTCGGAAGTGTAAGAAATTTAATTTGTTTAATTTACCAAATCGGTGGCGGTCGAGGTCTCGAGCCGGTTGCTTTCGTCTGGACGACCCTCGTTGATCACTTCGTTGTTCACTCGCCATAAGAAACGTGGCCTAGGATTTGCGTAAACGGTCACGTTCACCACCCCTTGTCGTCCAATTACGTATCCGAAACGCTCGATGGTTGGCTGCGGTTGAGGAGGATCTACAAAAGGAAAATTTCTCCCTTTAATCGCTCCGAGAGAATCTCTTCGGAGATTTCAATATACCGTCGTGCCTCGCATCGTTAAGAAATTCCCAGGCTGAACGATAAAAAAAAAAAAAAAAAAAGAAGTTTCAAGCATCTTTGCATAGTCAGGAAAGATTTTTAATTTGAAAAAGAAAAAAAAAAAA